CTCTTCCCCCCCCCCGGAATCTCTTCCTCCTCTTCCCCCCCCCCCCGCTGCGGAGGGCGGGAGGGGGGTGGGCGGCACCTGGGAGCTTCCCTGAGGTTGGATGGGGGAGGGGGGTTGCTGGATGCCCTCTTGGCCCTCCTCACCGCCTCTGCCCGGGAGCCCCTCCTGCCACGCTTGGAGCCCCCCTACAGCCGGGCTGCCTTTGCGAGTCCTCCCCCCCTCTTCCCGCTCCTCCTCCTGCCCTGCCCTGCTGGCAGCCCCTCTTTCAGTCCCCCTCCCCTGACCTGGCGGCTGGAGGTCGGGGCCCAAAGTCACGCAGCAGGTGGGGGTTGGGGGTGGGGGCTGCGCCCATTCAGCGTGCAGGGGGAGAGGGGAAAGTTTGCCAGAGCCGTGCCAGCGCCCGTCTCGGGGGTTTCCCCAGGCGCCCTCGGCTGTCCGGGGCCCAGGCCGCCTAACAGGGCTCCTTCCCTTCAGGGGGGCTCCCCGAGGACTTCCTGAGCTCCCTGGAGAAGGCGGAGGATGGCAAGCTGAAGGTCACCCTCAAGTACCCCCATTACTTTCCCCTGATGAAGAAGTGCCACGTGCCTGAGACCCGGAAGCGGATGGAGGAGCGGTTCAACTCCCGCTGCAAGGAGGTATGGGGGAGGGGGGCCCTCCCTGCACCTGCGCTGGTGGGCCAGAAGCCCCCCCCCCTCCAGAGGCTGAACCTGCTCCTCCCCCCTCCCCCCCCGAATTGCACAGGAGAACTGCCGGATCCTGCAGCAACTGGTAGAGCTGCGGGCCCAGAAGTCGGCGCTCCTGGGGTTTGAGACCCACGCGGCCTTTGTGCTGGAGATGAACATGGCCAAGGAGTGCAAGACGGTGGCCTCCTTCCTGGGTGAGGCGTGGGGGAGTCTGGAGGGCACCAGCCAGGAGCCGTCAGCCGAGAGATGGGAGGGGAGCCTTACCCGCCTCGGCATCTTCTGGCTGCTGAGGGACCGAGGGCTCCGTCCTCCAGAGAGGCCTGAGCTCCCCTGGCTGCTGGGGGGTGGGCTGGGGCGGGGGGGCACAGGGGAGATGTGTTATAGGTTGAAATTCGGAAGGGTTGGGGGCCGGGCCTTGGCGCCGGTGGGTGGGCGGTCTCTGCTCACCTCCTGGGCTCCCTGCAGACGAGTTGGCGGCCAAGCTGAAGCCGCTGGGCGAGAAGGAGCGAGCGGTCATCCTGGGCCTGAAGCAGAGGGAGTGTGAGCAGCGGGCGCTGCCCTTCGACGGGCGCATCAACGCCTGGGACATGCGCTACTACATGAACCAGGTGGAAGAGACCCAGTACAGCGTGGACCAGAACCTGCTGAAGGAGTTCTTCCCCATGCAAGTGGTGACCGACGGCCTGCTGGGCATCTACCAGGAGCTGCTGGGGCTGACGTTCCGCCGGGAGGAGGATGCCCGGGCCTGGCACGAGGATGTCCAGCTCTACACCGTGCAGGACCTGGCCTCCGGAGAGACCCTCGGCCAGTTCTACCTGGACCTTTACCCGCGGTGAGCCTGGGGGGGGGGGCGGGCAGGCGGTGGGACGCGATCCGCTCTGGGCTGCTGGGCCGCCTTCAACGCGGAGCCTCTGGGGTTCCCTGCAGAGCTCCGGCTGCCCCTTTCCAAATTCAGGGCACTGTTTTCCGATCAGGAGTTCGTTCCCCTCGGGCCCTGATCTGGGAAGCGGAGGAGCGGGCAGACAGGCGATGCTTTGAGAGTTCCTCGTGAAACCGAGGGGCTGGGGGCTCCTTTGGCCACAGAGGGCAGAGGCCAGATGGCTTTCTCGGTTTGTGGCACCCCCAACATCTCAGCAGTCGCACCTGGGCTGGTGGAATCTGGCAGATGCCGAATGTCGTTGTGTTTCCCTTGTGAGTTAAAAAGACCCTACAGAGCCTCCCCCCCCCCTCTCTCTCTGCTGACCGGTCCTCACTGGTGCCCCCCAAGCCTCACCCACCCCTCACCCAGGGAGGCTGCCACCGCCTTGCAGGTTGCTTCAGTGCCCTGGGGGGCACACAGTCCGGGAGTCAGGGCTTCGAATGGAAAGGTTGGAAAAAGGAGAGAGAAACTGACAAAATCTCAAATCGCTTCGATTTCTTTTCAGGAGGGTCAGTCTCCCACCTTCTGTTTTCAAGCCTCCCAGTGGGGTCTCCGTGGCCCCTGCGGCTGAGTCCTGGTCCCCCTCCGCTTCTCTCTCCCTCCCCCTTTCCCAGCAAAGCCGGGCCTTCTTCGCCCAAAGGAGGAGGGTGGGTGGGGGAGGCCCCCGAGGGAGAGCTCCGGGGGTATTTGGTATTTATTTGATTTGTAAGCCGCCCTATTCCCTGAAGGGACTCAGGGCAGCTGAACAAAAACCAAGGGAAGGGGAACAAATACAGAAAAGTAAGACAAAAACAAGACAGTGATACAAACAATTAAAAAAAAACACAGCAAGCACAGCAAATTCGAGGGGGGGGGGGAACTCAACCCCAGGCTTGCTGGGACAGCCAGGTCTTAACGGCTGTCCGGAAGGCCTGAAGGGTGGCGAGGGTCCGAATCTCCATGGGGAGCTCATTCCAAAAGGCCGAAGCAGCCACAGAGAAGGCCCTCCTCCAAGTGGTCGACAGCCGGCATTAGCCGGCAGGTGGATTCGGAGGAGGCCTAATCTGTGGGATCTAATGGGTCTATGGGAGGTATTATATTAGTTATGATTCAAACACTAGAAGTTGTTTTTAGGACTACAAGAAATATTTTGATAGCTCAATGGCTCTATTCCTTCCCCCATCCCTCTCGCCTCCCAAAATCACCAGCTATTTCGCTGATGGCGAATCTAGCACAAGGAAGTATTTATTCCCTTCTTATTTTTCTAGGATATAAAAGTTTAAATTATCCCACAAGCATCCCTTT